TGCTGCTGGTGGTGGTGCTGGTGCTGCTGCTGCTGCTGCTGCTGCTGGTGGTGGTGGTGGTGGTGGTGGTGGTGGGCGGTGGCGGCGGCGGGAACAGTACCAGGAAGCGAAGGAATATAAACGAGAGTAGTCCTGTAGTGGTAGCGAGCGGTCGCCGTGGTGCTTGGCGGTCCAAGTGATAGTCGGGGCATCCGCAGCAGCGGCAGCCGCCAACATTACAGAAGCGGAGGTTGAAACACTGCTGTTTCATCAATGCCATCAGCAGTATCAGAACGATCATCGTCATCACCAGACATCACCAGCACCATCATCAGCAGTGGCAGCAGCAGCTGCATGGGTCTCATGACCATCACAGTCGTGACCATCATCGGCACTGTAGTCACGACACTGCTTTGGTCGTGACTGCGATCAACACAAGCCTAGTGTGCGCACAGCTCGGTCCGATGGCAGGTGGTCGATCTTGATGTCAGCTCCGCTTCGCAGTCTGATCTCCTTGTTTCCGATTTCGAGGGACAAGGCTTTGGGCTTCTAGTTTGCTGTCCATGCCTCTGCGTCTTCAGGACTAAGATCAACACTTAACACCAAGCGGAACCAATGTTGCCACGAAACCTTGATCGTCTCACCACCTTTGCCGATCAGCGCCCGGATTTGAACGCCCTCCATGCGGATGATCTTGAAGCGGGACGGGTCAATGCCTGATCCAAGAACTACTTCATAGCCTTGAGTTCCTCAGGGCAGGGCAGCGGCCTGGTGGGACCGGCCGGACACTCTTCGGATCGCTCTTGCTCATGTCCTCGACAAATGCCGCAACCGACGTGTACTCAGCTTCAGCCATTGACCAGCACCAGCCCAAGCGGGCAGCCCGCATGCTTTCGACTTGGTGCACCTTGAGCCACTCCGGCAGCGTCGTGGATGGATCGCCCATCTCGTCCCACCTCGCAACGTTCATTGGGTGAGCTTGAAGACAGAACGGCTGTAATCGTAACACCTTGCAAACGTCACCCTCTCGGATGAACAATTCTTCTCGCTCAGGACCGAGCTTGGACCTCTTTCTCTCCTGATGTCACAGGCTGCGGCATCATTTGCAACCACAGACTCACCCACAGGCGGATCTGAGACTTGCTATTGAACCAGACCTACTAGACTCGCAGGCTGTGTAAGAAAACGCATTCAATCGCTCTTTTGCAGCCTCAGCTGCCGTTGTTCCAGGGATGGGAGCACCACCTCCGCGGGGCACAGGTCAAGACTACAAGTCGCACCGCAGGTCTTGCGAATATTAATGTCGCACAAGCAACGCAATGGATCAATTGAAGATCAGCATTGCAACAATGCACTCGCTCTCCATTCATCTCCGGCAGATGCAAGTTGCTGCTGCCATACTTGTCATGTAAGCCAGGCTGCCGCGAAGCAGAAAGTGAATCCTGGCCTCCCTCTGCTGCTGGTAACTCATTGTGTCCATCCCTTCCTCCTCCTTCGTACATGCTAGCTGGCGGGTTGCTCAGCATATGTTTTTTGTGGACTGCTGCTCAAGAGCTTTTCTCAATTTTCTGGTTTTTGTCTGATCTGTCTTCTTTTCTTTCGCACAGGGGAGGCGGAGCCCTTCAAGCTCCGCCAGCGCCCCTTTGCATCTAGGCTCGCTGCCGACACGGAGGTTTGCCGGGATGAGAGGTTCCTGACGCAGAACAACACAGCAGCAACAACGCCGCAATGGGGTTTAAACTCGAGGTACAGGGGCAGGCAGCCTTTGTCCATATCGGCTCAACCCGTTTTGGGAGTCCTTCGAACTCGGAGTTGACGCGGGCTCCAAGTGCTTTGGCATCGACCTGGGGAGGCCGACAAGCCTATCCTTACCCTCCGACTAGCGATGTTGCGGCTGCCGAAGATCTTTCACACCACAAACATTTCCACACTGCTTTGACGGCACAGGACAGACCGAATCCAAAGACTCAACTCGTCTTCAGTGCCAGGCATGAAAGTTGCCAAGACGGTAAAAGCCAGACACAGGTCTGCAATGTTCTTCGATTGCGGCATAAAGACTTGGCAACTTATGCTTTCAGTTCAACCCAAGAATTTAATAACTCCAGTCACAGGCTTCTAATCCCTTCTACTCCGCTCCACACGTACATGGCAGTTGAAGCCCGAAGCCTTCACCTGACATCCTTCTCTACCTCGCAGTGACAGTGCGAACTCACGAAAAGTGCCAAGACCACACAACCGGTAACTGTAATAACAAAAGAACCAAAACGAAGCGCATGGCGCAGTTCTTGCAAGACCATCAGGCAGCTACCAGGGCATTGCTCCAAGTAAGAGCTCTCCGAGGCATCTATTTTTGCAGCAGCTTGCGAGACTTCGCATCCCTTACGCAAAAGCGACTCCTCCCTAAACCCTGAGAGATCACCCGAAACCATGAGGCTGTCAAACGAAAAAGTCTCGATCTGGGACACTAAAAGTCACTAAACCAAACGACATGCACCACGAGGAGCCCGGCTCCGGTGAGATCGCGGAGCGTTGTGGTTTCACGCTCCGCGATCGGCTGGAGTCCTCGAAGTCATGCGATGGCCCGAGGATAATAATAAGTAGTACGTAGTACGATATACTACGACGTTACCACGATGACGATGGCCTGCTAACTGGGAAGAAAAGAGCACCTGGGCTTGGGGTCCTCAGACTTTTGAGCTTTCGGATGGTTTGGGGCTATTGCAGATTGGGACAGTGGAGTGCTGGTGCTTTCCTGCCCGTCCGTTGGAGTCGGGTGCTTGGCAGCTTCGAACAGTGGAGGGTATGTCGCCCCGTCTCCTATGTTTAATGGCAAAAGCTGTTGGCATTCAAAGAGCTTGAGGCAATAAGGTAAGCCCGTGAGATCCCCTGCGAGGTCTAAGCGCTGCCATCAGGGACAAGACCTGTCTTCATGCACATGGGACAGTGGCCTCGCAGAATGGTCTCGGTCCGGACCAAAAGACCAACAGTCGAATCCAATTAATATTTTCAAACAATCTTCCGGGGCCATCTTCGACTAAGACTGGCTGACAGGCTCTGTCATGCTGACATATCAACCCATGTCAACTGCACCTCAACCTCTTTTGCGTGACAACGGGTGTGGAATTTTAGCTTGGTAAACAGTGCACAAACAGACCTGGCACTACCACGTCTCTGACGATGGCCTGTGCAGACTCCGCATGGATCGGCTCTTCACAACAAGGGGGCAGGGAGACAAGCCACCGGGGCTCGCTGAAACATTGGCGCGTTTTCAACCTCCCTTACACCCTTTACCCTTCCCTTCTCCACCGCCCACTGAAAGTTCTGACGACAATACGGCAGCACTTGGACACTTGGCGTGCAGAGCCGTCTGGTCCTTCTCTTTGTCGCGGCCACGGTCTTTGCCCTCGGCAGCTTGCTGGGTCAACAGCACTCGTTGTCACACGGAATCGACCATATTATCACTCTCGTTCAGACTGAAAGCTGCAACCAAGGAAGCAGACTGCCCAATTCGAACAATCGCAACATGGCCTTATGGCAGCAACTCGGGCCAGTACACGCCGGCTGCGACTTTTTCGCTTCGCACGGCTGCTGCTACTCCTCGCCAGCTGCATGTCACAACTTGCTGTGTCAGCTGTGTCCGACACAGATGCCTTGCATCAGAGAGCTCAAAGCACTCTGACCAGACCCGGTTTGCCACTCTGAAACCCCCAGCCTCCGCCTTCGACTGCGACTGCGACGCCTCTCCGGGTGCTTTTGACGTCGAGCGCCGAAAGGAATCATAAGAGTCGGCAGAGGACTGCACTTTCGGCTTCGGCTTCTGCTTCGGCTCCGTCTTCGGCCGCGGTCCTGGCAAACTCTGTCAGTCTATTTAGCCCATCCGGCTATGTCGGCTATGTACCTCCTTACCAAGACAAAGTTTATCATTCAGAAACTGCATTAAACATTGTCCTCTTTGCTTGCCTGGTGACTTGCCTACCCTGCCTACTTTGTCACCTACCGCCTGCAGCACGTTCTTGTTTGCAGACCGGTACCTTATTCATGTACTTCTGACGATGCATTCATGTTGTTGTCTGTTTGTCAGGCACTCGTGTTTTCGTCACAGACATACAAGTTCACAGGGACAGGTTCACACAGGTAGCTGATCTAGTCCTGCTAGTCATTCACTTGAAGCACGATGTGCTTTGCTGCCTGACTGACTGACTGAGTTGCCTGTCAGTTCACCTAAATGAGGAAACTCTCTATATGTGTCGGCATTTTAGACACATCATGTTAACATATTCCTTGGTACGACCTTATATGCGCACGCACATGTGTGTGTGTGTGCGCTCCATGTAAGCACTTCTAGCGGTGTGGATGTGCATGTGTCATGAATACATGGATACACACATCCAAGCGTGCATGCATGCATACAACCACGCTCACATGCAAAGTTACATGAGCACTGACCTGCTTACATACATACACGCATAGGTACATATGTACATGTGTACATGCATGCATGCATACATACAGACCTGC